GTATATAACCACGATGCCTGGCCCACAGTAGCCAGACGACGACGACCAGGAAGACTACAACTGAAGAGCCTGAAGAGTTGAAACACCGCGCAGTCTCCAGACGACTCTGAAGATCCTGAAGAGCTGACACTGCATCGTCTCCAGACGACTTGGGCGACCCTGAAGAGTTGTAACACTACATCGTCTTCGGATGACCCTGAAGAGCTGTGACACCTTGTCGTCTTCGTGCTGCTCACAGTAGATGACGCGACACTGCGTTGTCTCTGTGCTGTACCGTGCTGCCCACAATAAACGGACGACACTGTCGTCTCTGTGCTGTAACACTACGCCGCTTGTCCCGGCTCTCACTCCTTCACTCAGGAAACCCGTTTGGGTGTCCCCCCGGGTCGGGACACCTGGCACCCGAACAGAGACGGGACACCCATCCTGCAAATAGGCCCACGTGAGCAACAGGCTCCATGTGGTCCTGAGGGTGAGCGGGATGGGGGGACTGGGTCTGCCCTCAAGGAGTTCCTGCCAGGGGTGGGCTGAGGAAAGGTCCCCAAAGATGCCTGGAATCTGAACTTTACCTTATATGGGAAAGGGACTCTGCGGATAAGAAGTTAAGGACCTTGAGCGGGGACCTGGGTGGGCCTCAATGCAATGACAAGGGTCCCCACAAGGGGGAGGCAGAGGGTGGTCTGACACAAACCAGAAGGTGGTCAAGGACAGAGGCAGAGAGAAGACTGGGTTGTGGACTTTGAAGATGAAACCGGTCAGGCTGCAGTCCCTTCTCTTCTACTTCTCCCTTCTTCTCGGGGCATTCGGCATGCAGACTCCTGTGCTCAGTGTGTTTCCCAAGCTGCAGGGTCTGAGACTCAAACCCCAACCAGTCACATGGGACCCAGCCTCCTTTAACCACCAGGCCACAGGCTGGGTAGGTAGGTCTGTCATTTTTAAAATATATTTATTATCAGTTATTTAATTAGGTTCTTGGCAAAAAAATTTTGAACATCAATTTGTGAAGATAAACTCCATTTGTAAGGGCAAACACGGATTGCAGGTAGCCCTGGAGCTGAAGAACAGCTTTGATTTTTGGTAAAATTTGCGAGTCCACAGCTTTCTGATCAACCTTGCGCTGCTCTGAAATCTCGTATCTCTCCATCTCTGTGTCGAAGATATCACCTTCCTGGTGTCTGGGCTTCCGCAGTTTCTTTTTCTTGAAGTAAGCATCGGTAAGGTACTTTGGGGTTTTTACTTTGCTAAAATCAATTTTTATGGAGGTGGCAATGACAAATTTCTGGTGTGTTCTACACAGTGGAACTGGATTGAGAACCAGCGGTCCAGTCACAAGTAGCAAGCCACTGCTCAGCTGCTTCAGGAAAACCACTCTCTATCCTCTGTGGCGTCCAGTGAGGATGATCAGAATGGTCCCAGGAGTGATGCTAGCTCGCAGCTTTTTCACATGCTCACTGAAGGGTTTTTTGCCATGGCTCAACAGCTTTCGAGGCACATCTTCAGTAGGATAATACCTAGGCATTTTTGTGCAATTTAATCACTTGGGTACTACCATTCTTGTCTCCACCAACTGGTTTTGTGACAATCACAAGAACCTTCTCCTTTTTCTTTTCGATTCTGGATTTAGTGGCCCAGTATTTCCTGTGGGAGGCTGCGCACCAGCGAGTCCTCCAAGGTTTCTCAGAGAGCAATTACCATGATTGGTTCCCTTCCAAAAACCTGACCTTCGAAACCTTGCTCTGATTGGCCACTAGAATCCCTCAAATTTGCATATTTGGCACCTCATGATTGGTCCAAAAGCAACCAATCACAGCCCACTGTTTACAACCAATCACGGCCCACCGTTTACAACCAATCACGGCCCACCGTTTACAACCAATCACGGCCCACCGTTTACAACCAATCACGGCCCACCGTTTACAACCAATCACGGCCCACCGTTTACAACCCACCAGAGTGTATGTAACCACGATGCCTGGCCCACAGTAGCCAGATGATGACGACGATGACCAGGAAGACGACTACTGAAGAGCCTGAAGAGCTGAGACACCGCACAGTCTCCAGACAACCCTGAAGATCCTGAAGAGCCGACACTGCATCGTCTCCAGATGACCTGGGAGACCCTGAAGAGTTCTAACACTATATCGTCTCCGGACAACCCTAAAGAGTTGTGACACCACGTCATCTCCGTGCTGCTCACAGTAGACGACGTGACCCTTAAGAGCTGTGACACTGCGTCGTCTCTGTGTTGTAACACTACGCTGCTTGTCCCGGCTCTCACTCCTTCACTCAGGAAACCTGTTCGGCTGTCCCCTGGGTCGGGACAATTTCCTCCTGTACACGGCCTTCCTGGAGTACATGGCAGACTGGGAGTATCTGCTGATGCCCCGGACTAGGACAGGGTTTCGGCTGCAATGGGGCTTCCCCTTCTTGGGCTTTTTAGCCTTGGGGTTACCCTTTTTAATCTTTCCACTGTCATCAGCCTTCCTGGCTTTAGATTTCTTCTTCTTAGTATCCTGCTTGGCAGCTTTTCCACCTGCCATCGTGTCC